TTTTTAATTAGCGGGCGAGTTGTCGGGAGTCACTGCGCCGAGAAACCATTAGGTTTTTCATAGCGCCGCGACTTTCGTCGCAGTTTTCATTTTTTTATGACGGAGATTAAGAGATGAAACGGGGANAATGTTCTTATTACAGAGATTAAGGGATGAAACGGGAATTGTTGGGTGGGGAATTTAATTCTCCATCGAACAGCGTTGGTTTCATTCCTTAATATTAATTAGGAGAAAAGAGACCATTTTTTAATTAGCGGGCGAATTAATGGGGAAGCGCTCTGCGCCGGAAAACCATTGAGTTTCTTATAGCGCCGTGACTTTCGTCGCAATATTAATTTTTTTATTGCAGAGATTAAGGGATGAAACGGGGGTTGATGGATGGGGAATTTAATTCTCCATTGAACTGTCTTTGTTTCATCCCTTAATATTAATTAGTCGGCGAATAAATCAACTGAAAAACATAAAGTAAACATTGAGTACAAGGAGGACAAAAATCCCCTCCGAACCTGTCCCTGTCACAGCAGGACTGCTACTGCCGAGTTACTCACGCACCCGACTCACATTTACCGACAATTCGACCGGGACGCCGCCTTTCCCGTGGGGTACCAACCAACATTTTGGAGTCAGTCAAACCCCCCGATCCGGGCCACTACTCAGGTCTATCCTCTTTGTTGGCAACGCTCAATGAATTCAAAGGGTCCGACTACATCTTCGAGAAGATAATTAAATGGAATTGATCATTTCAATGATTTTTGCATCTGAGTGGAAGCATTAGGAGAATAGAAAGATCCCATACTTTACTTTGGAGTTATAGAAAAATCCCAGACTTTACTCTACCCTGGCGGACCTGTCGTTTCAGAGAACCGACCTGTTCAGTATGTCGATAACCCTTAGATTGTTAGTCGATGGAAATTTTTTAAATTACCATCGACTTACAATCGAAGGGTTATCGACATACTGGTAATTTCAAATATTCCCATCGACTAACAATCGAAGGGTTATCGACATACTGAACAGGTCGGTTCTCTGGAACGACAGGTCCACCAGGGTGGGGTTATAGAAAAATCTCAGAGTTAACTCTGGGTTGATAGAAAAATTCCAGACTTATCTCCGGCTCTCCGACGTCGAGTGAGCCCACAGGGGCTTCCCCGATTGGAAAATTCATTTCTCC